TGATAAAGCTGGTAGTATATAAAGCCCAGTGGATCCCTATAAGTGATAGTGACCTATAAAAATAAATTAGTCTTTCACCCCCCAAGCAAACATACTAGATATGCACTATTTAAACAAATCTTTCTCTTTGGTATCACCTTTTTGGTCATCAGCACATCCTACAGCTATTTTCCTCCAAAGCTCTGTGATACGGTGACCTTTATGTGGATGTAAAGGTCAGCTTGAATACACCACAAAAGGTTGGTCAGGTTTCCCAGAGAGCGGGAGAGCCTGTCATAAACAGCCTTTACGACTGCAAATACCAGATAAGTTATCACTTGTGACGGCTTTACGTTTCAAAGCCCTGAAATATGGTGGATGCGTCAACCTCTTTTAACTGACGCCCTCATCAGTCAGCCTAATGATCGTAACGTTTTGGGGAATTGTGACATTTTAAGAAAAACTCATTTAATGTTTTATCACATTTTCCCATTCTTCTGCAAAGGCAGAAGACAGTTTACCAACTTTGTAAAAAAAATAATGTTGAACTAATTTAAAAAATGTTTGATGAAAAGCTGGGTTTTTCTGTATTTTTACCTAAGTCTTTCAAAATGTGGTTAAAATCTGTGACACGGTAGAGAAATTTAACTGCTGATTTGGTAAATTTGAGAAGCAGAACACAAACAACTCAGTCAATCCAAAAATGTTAAATGCAGACTGTACACACTCACTGACCTTGCTTCTAGTACTGGGTTAGAGCCCCATTGTAGACTTCAGAAATGCCTCAGTTCTTTGTGGCACAGATTCAAAAAAAGTTCTGGATCATTCCCCAAAGATTTTGGTCCATATTGACACGATAGCATCACGCAGTTGAAGAAGATTTGGAGATCCCAAAAGGTGCTCTTTTTTTTTTTTACAATCTAAGCTCAGTGAACTCATTTTCGTGTTCAAGAAACCAGTTTGAGATGATTTGAGCTTTGTGACATGGTGCGCTATCCTACTGGAAGCAGGCATCATAAGATGGTACACTGCAGTCATAAAGGGGGATGGACATGGTCAGCAACAATACTCAGGTAGTCTGTGGTGTTTAGACTTGGTCTGGTCAGTTGGTACTGAGGAGCTCAGAGTTTGCCAAGGAATTATCCCCAACACCATTACACCACCAGCCTGAATTACTGATTCAAGGGGCAGTAACTCCACTGGGGTGGCTCTAGCTCAGGAGGTAGCGCAGATCACCTGCTAATCGGAAGGTTGATGGTTCAATTTGTCTGCATGCCAAATATCCTTGGGCAAGATACTAACACCAAGTTGTTCTTCGATGCATCGATTAGAGTATGAACGAGTATAGGTGTTATATAGAAAGAGCTTAGAAGAAAAGTGCTTGTGTGAATGGTGTAAAGCGCTTTGAGTGCTCAGAAAGCGTAGAAAAGCACTATACAGTGGCTTGCAAAAATATTCAGCCCTCTTGAACTTTTCTACATTTTGTCACATTACAGCCACAAACATGAAGCAATTTTATTGGAATTCCATCAATACGAAGTGGTGTACACGTGAGAAGTGGAACGAAAATCATACATG